GCAGTAAACATGCTTGTGTCACATATATTATTTTGTCCAGTTTCTTTGTAGAACCAATTTTTAGAATTTGGGGGTTAAAGTATATTACATTTTACATGATTGTTGCTCACTAGTCTTGTATAATAGACAACTTTTGATTAAACATCATGTTTATATTATTTAAATGATTAAATTATTGCATTATAATAGTAATTTATGGCTTGCTTGATTTTAGAAATAGGTCATAAAAAAGGCAATACACTATGACAAACAAAATATTTCTTTGTCATTATTTCCTAAGTATCCTTAAGAGAAATAATATCTCAACCAGGATTTGGACCAAGGAATAAGATTAAAGGGTAATGATAATTAACAGCTTAATTCAACTTAATTCTCAAATGCTTAAGGGAAAAGTATTTTTTAAAAAAGCTCAAACACATGTTCTGTGTGTTGAACATGCAGTAGCATTTATCCTGTATTTAGTGACCTGGATTGATTGCAGTGCACACCACATAAACACTTGTTCTGTCGCTAATTCAGATGTTGATTGAAGATGACAAAAATAAGAATAAAGAAAAACAATAAATTGCAAAGTTTACTATTTTGCCCTGAACTCCTATTTCATCCCACATATGCTCTGGCAGCCTATGTCTTCATGAAAGCTACTAGCAGGAAGAACACCCTATAAGAGATTTCTAAACCTCTGTGCTTTGTCTTTTTTAGAAATGACAGTAGTGTTGGAGGGAACTGATTTCCAGAGATACGTTTTTACTCGGGTAGTAGAGATTATGACTCATGGGTCTTCAACATAATGCTTCACGGAAAAGTTAAAATACAGTTACTTTTCTTTCTTTTTTTTAATAAAGGAAGTAGTTCTTTATGTACTGACATGAAACTTCTGCCAACATATATCTGAAAAAAAAGCAAGATACAGAATAGTATAGTTTATCATTTGTACAAACAAAGGGAAAATACCACAGATGTATATTTTCTTTTACATACAGAGAAGATCTCTGAAAGGATACACAAGGAATTGCAATACTGATTGCCTCTGAGGAGTTAAGTGATCACTGGGACAAGGGTGAGAAGCATCTTACTCCATGTCCTTTTGTACCTTTGATTTCAAACCATGTGAACATTCTACCTATTCAAAAAATGTAAATCTGTACTCTTAAAAGTGAATGATAATGTGAACTTAAAAACTATATGAAAATGTATATATACTGGACTTCACAGCAACTTGGATGGATTTAGAGTCTATAGTACTCAGTGATTTATCACAGAAACAAAGAACTGAGTACCACATGTTCTTGCTCATAAGGAGACCCTGAATATTTACCATAATACTGTAAGAAAGAGATTGGCAGTAGCAAGTCATGGCGGGACGGGGGTAGGGGAGGTGAGACACATAGCATTAATAAGGGTATCTGATCTCAAACCAAGCAAAGTGGGGACCAAAGGGAGGACCAAACTTTACCTGTACAATGACCACTTGTATACCTAATCCTGGATTGTACCCCCACATCTTTAAAATAAAATAAAATTTAAAAACTTTTATATATACCCAATACAATCATATAAACAAAACACATGTATGGGGAAATAGGAAGTTATTATATCAACATGGTAACCATTTTTTCCTTCTGCAACCTATTTTTCCAAAATTTTTATGACGTAGCTATAATTTTTTTTTTTTTGAGTTGGAGTCTCACTCTGTCATCCAGACTAGTGGCCGCTCCCGGCCACCACAGCCTCGACCTGCTGGGCTCCGGCGATCCTTCCACCTCAGCCTTCCAAGTAGCTGGAACTACAGGTGTGCACTACCACGCCCGGCTAATTTTTGATTTATTGTAGAGATGAGGTCTTGCTGCCCAGGCGGGTCTCGAACCCGCGGGCTCAGGCAGTTCACTCACCTCAGCCTCCCAAAGGCGCGGGATTACAGGCTGAGCCACCGAGCCCGGCTCTTTTCTTTTTTTTGGAGTTGGAGTCTCACCCCGTCGCCCAGGCTGCAGTGCAGTGTCATGTTGACAGCCACCACAGCCTCAACCTACTGGACTGAGGCAATCCTTCCACCTCAGCCTTCCAAGTAGCTGGAACTACAGGCATGCACCACCATGCCCGGGTAATGTTTTTATTTATTGTAGAGATGAGGTCTCGCCAAGTTGCCCAGGCTGGTCTCCAACCCATGGGCTCAGGCAGTCCTCTCACCTCAGCCTCCCAGAGTGCTGGGAATACAGTTACTTTTCAATGTACTCCAATAAAGTGTCATACTAAGATAGTTTAGTGTGGTGGTGAATGCCCTAGATTTTAGAAGAATCTTTACATAAGTCTTCATTTTATATACTTTATACATTTATTTATGCTTGGTATACTTACGACCTCTTTAAGCAGAAGGAATGTGATATATTTAAAGTCACTGCTATATATGGCACTTACTGTGAGAAATCAGACAAATACCTTCTAGTAATACTTAAATGTCTAGGGAAAAAGTTCCTAAACTAAATGCTCCCATTATTATGTTTTTTTTTTGAGTTGGAGTCTCACTCTGTCGCCCAGACTGGAGTGCAGTGGCCGC